TTCCATTGTTATGGTGTAGCAGAATAAACGTCAAAGGACTTTCCGGGTTCATACATTAATTAATTATTACTGATTAGTTCAAGATGCAACTTTGCCATTAAGGTCTTTTAAGAAACAGTAATTATTGTTTGGATAATATAATAGTGGAGATTATCGTTTATGTTAAATGACGATTTAGCAATTGATCTGATAGTATAATACGGACTATCGTAGACAGTACGTTTTTTCACAAATGTATATTCAAGTGTTTAACACGCGCACCGAGTTTAAAGGCAAGACGCGTAGCGGAGTGCCTTTAATCGTTGCCAGCGCTTTAAAGACCAATTATACACGCGTTTCTTATAGTATTTTTTATTATAAGTACCTGCAATATAATTTAAAAATAAGGAAATAAAAGTGAATCATAGCCATGGAAATGTCACTTGACGTTTGAAACTTGAAACTTGAAACTTTGACATATGCCTGGCGTCGCTACAAAAATTATCGTGTTTGTAATAGAAGTGATAATACACCTAGTAATGCACCGTCCATTCAATAGCTTATTGCGGCAGCAGAAGAAAAGGTGAAACTTGTAAAATACAAATGCAAAAGCCTATTATAAGGAATGTGAAAAGTAGTATTCTCCTAAAAGTAGTTCAAAACCGCAGAAGTGGTTCCGGACGGACGGTCGGACGGACAAAACGCAAACAATATCTAATTATTTTTAATTCTTAAACATTCTAAATTTATTTTAGTTTAAGAATTTAATTTATTTAGAAATAAGTAGTATAGCACGATTATTAGCGCCTTATATGTTGAGACAATTCTTTAAATGTTGTAATAATAAATTTGCAATCATTATAGTTCTATAGTTCAAGACTGGTTTTCATGAAAGTTCCGCTAAATAATCTAGTCAAGGGGTCCCATAAAGGACAGTTACGTAAAAAAGTACATAAGATTAAATGGGATTATTTCATATAAATCATTTTTTGATATCACCACTAGTTTCCGATTAATTAAGTGAATTAAATTTAAGATTACGAAACTGGTAGTCGCAACCAACAAAAGAAATTACCGCTACACCCTAGGCTACACCCCAATTCTCGATTATGTAGTTAAACCCCAATAAATCATCCCCTAAAGCTGATATCTATTATAGGCAAAAATGCTTGCTTCAAAACCTATTATTTTCGTTCTGTGCCAAATTCCACTGTTATTCTCGGACAAAAACGTAGTTTACCCTTTATTAAATTAATAATTCTAACTAGTTCGCGATAGTTGATCATTTTTATAGGTATACTTTAGGTTGAGATTTGAAAAAAAAAGTTCGATGTCGTTACGGCGCTCCAAAATTTTTTAGTTCGAGCTAGGAGGCCAAAGAGTTCCGAAAATTTACGATCATGCAAAGTGACCTGAAATTTTTCCCCTAATTCTATAGCCATTTTTTAAATTATCATTTGATATTTTGATACTTGATAAATACAGAGTTTGTTTCACAAACTGTATAAGTAATACACAATAGAAACTTAAAATTTCCTGTAATCCGAATTTTTCACAATTCTTTTTACTGCCATTATTTAAATCTTAGTCTATAGTCAAAGATTTCAGCTAAATAAAATGGATTAAAATTCATATAAAACTCTAAAACTATTATGGGAGCAAATTGAGCTATTACGAAATTTCCTAATTTTCGATAATGATTTGCTAACTTTACAGACAGACTTTGGCTAAAAACCGTCTAAAACCAAGTCGATAACTGTTAACACCACTAAGGTAAGGATGCACTGCAAACAGAACTCTTATACGAATGCACGTAGAATATCCACCGTGAAATAGATTTTTTTGCAAATTTTAATTTCGAATTATTGTCGAGCTTAATCTTGTGAAATCTTTTTATACCCGATCTAATTCCAGAGCCATAATGAGTGGTATTGAACGAAGTCGTAGCTACAACACGGGGTTCTAAAACAATGATGCAAGTACTCCACTTCATTTCTGGAACTGTAATTATTTTAAGTAATTTAACTTTTACTGAAACCAATCTGAAAGTTTGAGAATTATGGGGTACCATTCCAGTAAGGATGAAGATGAGTGCTGTTAGAAAATACAGTGCACCCCAAAATAGCAAATAGTAATGAATATACAAGACGCCGAATCTAAAACGATGCATCCATAAGTGCAGATGCGCCACTCTGTAGAACTAGTAAGAATGCATGTAGAACAATTATAAAAATTTTGAAGTTTCGGACCACTTTGTATGATCGTGAAGTTTTCCTTTAAAATGTGTCTCTAAAAGAGGAATTGTGAATTGTGTTTAGTTAAAAATAAAGTGCACGATATCTCTTGGACTGTGATTATTTCAAGTAAACTTGGGTGCACATAGTTTTGATTTTTTGAAATGGGAAACCGTTACGTTTGGAAAGTGCGCTGACCTCTTTAAAATTGTATTTTTTGCTATACGAAGAGTAATAGTTCTATAGAAGTTAGGTGCACGTAGAACCTCAGTCGAAAATTAGAGTTTTGACCCATTTTTTATTACTTATCGTTATTTTAATTTGAAGGAATAATTTTGCCGAACCTTTTTCGAAAGCTATCTACACCTGCAGAACTATTACGGTGTAAATAGAAGCATTAAAGAATTTTTTCAATTTTCGATAATGATGTGGTAACCACAAGAAACTCGGAAAAGTCATCACTACTTGCGTACCATTTTAGAGAACTGAGTGACAATGTACCATATTTTGAGGTATTTGGAGGAATTTCAAGAGAACGCTCTAATTTTTAAAAGTATTTTAGAGAAACTTGATAAAATGCTATAAAACTAGTGACCAAACACCCCTTAACTTGAGATGTGTTCGTTCCCACTGCGTTCACTTAAGAAAGGTGACCAAGTTTGAAAATTATTGTTGACGTTATTTAAGGGATGATATTTGTAGATTTATCCATTCATATTATGTATATTTTTGCATACCTATTTATTGCTGTTTTGTTATTGCTAACTTCACAAGAAATATGCAAAATCTGGTTATTGATAACTTCACACGACGTCTACTACGTACGGACTGGGAAAGATCGTGTTGACTTAAAACGAAATCCACTGACTAGGAGTTTAGTTAAAAGCAGTAAACGACCGGTCATCGTGCTTCTACACGGAGAACAATCTATTTCAGGGCCATCGTGGCCGACAGGCCCAGAAATATGTATACAGTACCATCGAGGTTGTTAATGTTACACCAAAAATACACGAGCATTTCAATAAAAAATTGTAAGTATTAAAAGAAATGTAAAGCAATTTTTAAAAAATGCTATGTATTTTGGAATATTTTGTGGGTCAAAATTTTTGTTTCAAGGAGGGAGGGAGGAGGGATATGAAAATCCCCAGCTAATTAAATTATTTTATAAACTTTAAAACTAAAATACGATTACTCAGTAACTAATCGATTAATGGCTATGTATGCAATGAGAACCCCTTCCAAATCATGGTAATTTGACCCCCGTTCCATTACAACATTTATGTGGGTTGTGATGCCTAATACTACATAGTTAAATTCGCAAGGACTATTTATTCATAAAAATTCCCCCTCCCCCATCATATAAAAATCGACCGGTTTTCGAAGGAGTTGCCCCATTTTTCGCTAGGACACCCTAGTATGTGGTTAAAAATATGTAGGTAAAAGTCATTTCCAAACGTAGTCATAGAAAAAAAGTGTTACATATTCATGAATCTGAAAGTAAGTCATTTCGTTAAAACGAAAATTTGTACGAGCGAGAGGCTTTCGTTTCCTTGGAGTCATCGGAACTAGTTTTACAAGTGTGTACTTTTTGGTCCCAATATCGAGGCATTCTCTGCGATGCAGAAAGAAACAAAAATAAAAAGGAGTTGATATTTAATCGATGAATTTATTTGTTGTTCTCAAGCTTCAGAATTAAAATGTAATCGTCTAACAGTCTAACTTAACTCATAGCATTCAGGTACAATTATCCCGCATAATGTTCAGATAGTTTAAGATAATTCACGTGTTCGATCAAGGCTTTCCCAAAATAAACTTTATAGCCATCAAGGGACCATCAAAATGCATAAGATGACACAAAAGTAAAATATATTTTTTTTCAAAATTTACGACAAATAATTATTTAGGGGTACGTGAGGAATTAAATCAGAACGCGTGTTGAATAAAATTTAAACCAAAATTACAAATAGCACGTGTGATGAATTACAATGAAAGAATAATAAAAAAACACGAATAAATATTGTAACGAACCTCCCCACGTACTGGGCAGACTTGCTAGTATCAAACCTATTATCGTTTTTAATTAAACTAAACTCATTGAATATGAGTAAATCTTGCACCGACATGGAGGGTACAAACTTGGGTGTTGCAAAAGATAGCTTTAAACTCGGCTTTCAAGTACTTTATAAAGATGATTACCTTGGAATGGATTGATATTTATTTCTGTCTTATTATAGGTACTGTTAAATATAGATAAACAGAAATAAATGGCTGAACGTTTAAACAATTTTCTTGATACAAAAATTCTGTTCAATATCAACATAGGAATATACTTGAACATTGCTAGATTACGAAAAGAAGACTGCTGCCTACTATTTAAAAAAACCACCCCTTTCATCTCTCGATCCCTTTAGATTTAGGCCCCAAATCATGGATATTATCTAATAACATACTAAACAGGTTTGATGGTAGCGTCAAAAAACATTACTCTAATTATTGTCATTAATACGTGGTTGACGATTCATCCACAAAAACGAGTTTTTGCTAATAAAAAGATTAAACATCAATAATTTATAGTTACACTTTCAGGCCAATAACAGTAATAAACACGACCAAAGAATTCCTGCAGGTGGTTTACGTGTACACGGAAAAAACAGTTTTTTGATAATAGTTATGGTAATCTGATTGTGTAGGGGAATTATGCTTACGCACGAAACCGTCTAATGATTTTGGTAAATGTTAAATGAATGTCGAAATTACATGATAGGTAATAAAAGAGCATACACTTACGATTACAATGGAGTATTTTGCACAAGTGACAGGAACCTCTAACTGATGTAAACTAAAACAAGTTTCAGTTTGACGGTCACTACAAACCTCGGTTCACATGCAGATGAGCAAGGACTTTGATATCTGCTGGAGGGTTATCTGAATAAGTTACTTGTATCCAACTAAACGGTACGTTTTAATATATTACTACGGCAAATAAACAAATCAGAGAGAGATGGCGCATAACTGAAATGAGCTAACAGCATTTGTTGTTAAGAGGCATGGGAAAACCAGTCATTGAAGTTCTCATTAAACATTTCTAACTGTGTAAAAACGTATTTTCAAAAGTTAATAGCACGCGATGCTCTGCATTGTAGTGCAAAAAATTGCAGGATGAAGGTATTTATTTAACGAAACGAAACAATAGGTTATAGTAATGAACAATGTAATATTTAGGATGCGAACGATATACGCTTGTGCAATACACATATACGCAATCAATATATTAGTCAAAAACCACTTTACTACTACACTAAATAGATGAGATTACAACATTGCAATTATTACACAATAACAATGAGATTTTATTACCCCAATGAAGCTGTCCTTACCGCGTTTCAAGCGTGACCACACTGATTGTCATACAATATTAAAATTTAGGAATGCCTACTGTAATTTTACTTCCGATAAAAATATTATGGCACATAGCTTTGAAGTAAGGTTTGCATAGGGGCAGTCTATAAATGAAATGGTGCAGAATTCGATATGATTATGAGACTATATAGGGTGGGTTTTGTGTTTGCGTAGAAACAGCATTTGTTTTGAATATGGCGCAGCAGTGGCTATCTATTTCCCATTTGCACGATGAACTATTTTTTCACTGCATTTTCGCACGGAATCTTGTCACACCCCATGGAAAACCAAAAACAATTATTTCGCTATCTTTTTTTAAATTTAAATGCGTAGAAATTAATTTCCCCAAATCTGAATGGTAATGAATGGTAGGTAAATTACCGTTTACTGGCAGCAGGGGCTTCCTTTCTATGCCGTTTGTTTTGTGATTAGACAAGTTGGGTCATATAATATGGACATTACGTAACTCGGCATTCTTTAAAGTTTGGGTTTTTAGAATATAGGGCAGTGAAGTATTTTAGTGCCTAGGGATTAATACCACATAACTCTTGTTTTACTTTTACAATTTGATATTATTTACACTAGATTCTTGTTTCATCTACCCGGTGCGTTGATATTTCTTTCTGATTTTAACAGAATAAAATATAGTCATTAAAAGCACATGTTTATTTATTTAAATTATTATAATTAATGTTGAAAGTTCAATTAGTCATATTGCCATTATTGAAATTCCGGTTCCTGTAGCGACCAGTAGTGTAAAAGTCCTTCTCATACCATGCCCAGTGTATTCTTTTGGTTTTTTCGAGTTTATAAGTACGACGCCACCTTTCTGCATATTTCTCCAATAAAGTGAATTCTCATCACAGCTCGATGACATTTTCCTTTTGAAAATTTCTGGAAAATCTGGAGTTATTCATGTTTGCTTGCCGCGTATATTGGCATATTTTTTAAACATAAATGTCGATATAGTGTGCTCCTACTACTGTAAACGATAATTTTACTATCTGGAATTTGTATGTGAAAAAGAGATCCCAAATCTTCGATTACTTCAGTCTTCATTTTGACTAATTCACCGCAGATGCACGCGCCAAAAACGCCTATTATTATTATTATTGCAATGTGTAAAATACATGGTGATCCAGATTGGACTGTATATGATCTGTTTTTTTGAATAAAACACAGTTTGTTTCAAATAAAGTCGGGACTTTCTTAGTTAGAAAGACGTTGAATTATAAAAATTATATATTTTTTGTACTGAATCCACATCTGTAATTAAAATAACAAAACAACATCGCATTTTTGAGATATATTATTATACCATATCACAGCTTATTGCATTTTCTACAATAGTTCTTAATTTACCATACCCAAAATACTTCAAACGACAAAGATATTTCACTTATCTTCATTTCGATCTAGTTATCCATGAAAATGATAAAAATACCTAATAGGATTTAAAAAAATAACTGAAACTAGGACATATTATAGTAGGTTGTTAACAAAACAAGGATAACAAGTGAAATTAAGTAATACATATAAAAATCACTTACAAGTTACACTACATACCTCCCTATGAGAAAGAAGGTGTTCAAAAAGGTTTCCATTTTCTTCAATATAGGGCTCGTTAAAAGCATATTTTCTAGGAAATTAACTTACACAGCCAAGTAATAAACACCAAATTCAGTTGTCAGATACTTTACAACATACAAGGTCATTTTACCGTTTTCATAGATAACTAGATCGAAAAGAAAATAATTAAAAATCTTGGTTATTTTAAGTATTTTAGTAATTTAACTGTCTTTCTAATTCTACAACTAAGACTGTATATTGGAAAAATCCAAATTTTATTGTTAATCGTGAAAAGTAGACTAGAGACTTGGCAATTATGTATGAAATATGATGTCGTGCAAATGCCCTCCACGATTCCACTAACACGGTACAATTCTTTTAGCGAAGATTTCCGTTACAAGCTCCAATAAATGCTCTGAGAGATAACATGACCAGGAAATTTGTGTGGCAATCACGAGCTTGTCTCTCGCTGTGCGCGCGCAAACGGAAATGCCCATAGATTCACCCCTTTACGTCTACGGCCAAGAACGACAAAATTCTTTAAACCTTTTAGTTACCTAGTATGAAATACGAAAAAGGCAAAAATATAAAAATTAGAAAAATTGAAAAACCCTTTTCATCTACAAATCACAAAATTAAAAGCCAAAAATAAAAATTTCGTTAAAAAGTGCGTCTTTTCAACATTCATATATCTCAATTTACAGGATGTCTCAAATTTAAAGGTCCATCGTGTAATAGTAGATACAGTACCTACGTCAAAATAAGTATAAATTACTAGGTAAACATAAGTCCGATCTTGCCTCGTTTTCGAGTTCTGGCAGCTTGAAGGTAAAAAAAGTGCCATCGTTAACCTTATATTGTTTTCCCTTTTGTACAAAATAAACGTAAATGTCAAACTAATTAATTATTTCAATAATTGTTCAGTCTGCTATTACAGAGGGTGGACTTTAAATTTGGAACACTTTGTACATTCTTAAGATCCCAACACTTTTCAACACAAATCCATTTTTGACTTTTTCGTTCAGAGTTCTGTTGACGAAAAGTATTTTTTTTAATTTTTCATCCTTCAGTAAATGAAAAATGTCGCTGGGATCACGATTAGATTAACTTCGTCATCGCAATTATATGCGGTTTAGCGGAATCATCTTGCAATGTAATACTCACTAATGGATAAGGTAAGCGCGCATATTAACCAGTTATAGGAAACGTGCGTAAGTGTTTAAAGGCTTTATGTAAACGTTTTGAGAATTTAAATATAGTAGGAAAGTTCTGGTAATTAAAGGAACGTCACCAACGATTTGACAATCGATGTGATGAAATTTGTTGTTTCATCAAGGGTCAATAAGTTTTTAATCTTAACACCAGAACTATCTAAATATTTTTAGCGGTCCACTAAAAAAGGACCCAATATTAATTTAGTTGTGTTCTACCTACAGCACTCCAGAATCAAAGAATACTCTTTGATTATGTCTAAGGCATTTCGATAGGTTGCGAAAAAGTCTTGCAAGGTCTAATTTTGATTAAACTCCTTACAACACGAATTTCTTCAAATTGAAAAACTGGTTGTATCACATTTTCTGCATCAAAGCATGAATATCTTGATTCTTGGTACGTTTTTTTTTACAATATTCATGCTAATTACAGTAAACCATTGAAAAGGTTTGAGTTCGAGAGAGTTCGACTATAACCATGCGTTTTTTTGAGTTGACCATAGTCATAGGACGTATGTACATTGTACATTTTAATGTTTGGCATTCTAGAAATGTTAGCAAACTGAAATTGAAGCACACTGATAGATACGACAACTATCTACAATCTCGCAAAATAAAAGTTTGAAATAGAAACCGAGAATGGGAAAAAAATTGGACATTTTCAGTTTTTCGGTCATATCTGTTATTTTCAGAAATTTTGAAAACAACAACAAAAAGGCGTTGCGTAGATCTCAATGGTGAGCCACGAATTTTAACCAACGTGTACAAAGACTACATGCGTGCACTGTTCCACTAACCCAGTAATCATAGTGTGCCTACGACGCGTCCTTGCCCTGAAATCGCACCGCATTGTTATTTAATCTAATCTATGCAATACTTGGTAATTGGTATAAATTACTACTTGATTAATCTGTTCAATCCCAGATGAGTGTGATTGCACATTAGTTTAAGCATCTTTATTCATTTTTCAACTTTTAAATTTTAATCGCGATTTCTCGATAACTCATCGATTGATTTAAAAAAATACGAGTACATAATCGGTTATGTAAACAGTGAAAACCCCTTCTAAATTATGGGTTACTTGACCCCTCGTCCCATTTAAAAATTTGTGGGGGGTTGCAACCCCTAGTAATAAAGCATCTGAAGTCTTAACTTGCTGAATACAATTGAATTTTGTCGGTAGAGACTCTTTGGACTCATAGTGTATAGAAAAAGTGCAACGTTATATACAAGGCGTTCCTTAAAGACATGCTAATATTTAGGGGGAGGGGGGGGGGGGATTCTTGGACCCATTTTAAGAATAAAACTTCTTATGAACGTATGTCCTAAACGTTTTAACTTTTGAGATACAAAGTGGCAAAGTTTTAAAAAAGTACCAGTTTTTAGCGCATTTCCACAAAAATAAAAAAAAATGCGCTATTGTGGCCACTTTGTCCGTCCGTCCGTCCGTCCGTCCGCTCGTTTTGCGACGCTACTAGTTCTTTATCTTAAGAGCTATTGTTCTACTTTTTTCGCTATTTGGTTCGTTATGGTGTCGAGTCTTGTACCAAGGAAGGAATTTTTTCTGTACCGCTTACAAAAAAAGTTATTGTAAAAAAAACAAAAAACCGTTTTTTACATGTTCCATAATTTTACACTTTTGCCGTTTATTAACGATCCTAGAGATCGTTTATAATTTTGCATTGCTATCTGTCGCCTGCCGATTGGTCTCTCCGTCTGTTCCTTTGTCTGTCTGTCCATCTATCTGTCCGTGTGAACGATAACTTTGTTTAGAAATGTTCGATCGCTTTTACATCTCCGTTAGTTATGAACTGAATTGCATGAAATTCAATATGGGCATAGCTTTAGCCATATAATACGCAATGCCAAAAGTTGAATCGAATCGATTCAAAATTCACAGTGCCCTTTTCGCATCTCCACCATTTATAAACCGAATTGCAAACTTTTTTACTTATAAAAGTATTTGAATGAAATTTGATACATAGGCACTTGGAATAAAGGAAAATCAAACGCCAATTTCAAAATTTGGTTTTGCGCATGCGCAGTGCCAACTTTTTTATTTATGGAAGAATTTAAACGAAATTTGATACATAGGCACATGGAATAAAGGAAAATCAAACGCCAATTTCAAAATTTGGTTTTGCGCATGCGCAGTGCCAACTTTTTTATTTAATGGAAGAATTTAAACGAAATTTGATACATAGGCACTTGGGATAAAGGAAAATCAAACGCCAATTTCAAAATTTGGTTTTGCGCATGCGCAGTGCCAACTTTTTTATTTATGGAAGAATTTAAACGAAATTTGATACATAGGCACTTGGGATAAAGGAAAATCAAACGCCAGTTTCAAAATTTGGCTTTGCGCATGCGCAGTGCCAACTTTTTTATTTATGGAAGAATTTAAATGAAATGTGATACATAGGCACTTGGAATAAAGGAAAATCTAGCGCCAGTTTCAAAATTTTATTTTGCGCATGCGCCGTGCCAACTTTTTTATCTATGGAACTATTTAAGTGAAATTTGATACTTAGGCGCTTGGAACAAAGGAAAATCTAACATTAGTTTTAAAATTTAGGTTTGCGCATGCGCAGTTCCAACTTTCTTATTTATTAGAAAAGCATTGAAATGAAATTCTTCTCATAAACTGAAATTGAAGTAGCACGTCAACAATGGATTGCCCATGTGCAACGCTATCTTTCATATTTGTGGCCGGATTTTTACGATTTTAACAGAAGTTGCATCTTACAAATGGTAAATGAATGCAAGTGGAAATGCGCTTTATGTAAATCGTTTACGATTACTTTTTAACTTGTTGAATAATGACAGAGATAATAATTATAGACATCTTTATGAAATTTGATCTTCTATGCATCAAAATGCATTTTCTGATGTGCAAAAGTTTTTATTTTCTCTACCTGTGGCGTCCGTGCGGCTTTTGCATTGAATATTTTTGGAGCAAAAATACAACGCCACTGCTTTCTCTTAAAATAAAAATTATTTTTTTAAATTCTCTTTCATTTTTTAGCAAATTTGATCTTCTAGTTTTTCTTTGCTAATATAGAGAACGTTATGAATATTACATACAGGTGTATTCAGTCAAATGGAATAAATTTGATAATCAGGTGTGGCATGTAACAGTAATCAACACCAACTTTTTTTATTTTAAATACAACATTCTAGACATCACTCTTTCATATACAAGGTGGTTCCAATTCGTTCATCGAAAATCTGAAGATGTCGTTTCCATTTTACCTAGCTTAAACGGTCTGCGTTTGGCACCTTTACAGGCACTTTTTTTCAGAGAATCTGAATTTGTTATCAGAATTTCTATAACCCACTAGATGTATAAGCTACAGACTACTGCTTTCTTATTTCTTCTCCGCGACATATTGGATTTTGAGTGAGAATCTACAGCGTGTTTTTTTCAGGGGCCATGTTCCAGTTTCTAACTCTGAAATTTTTTTCGGGACGACTCTTGTAGATTGTGAAACAATAATTTAATTTTCTGGTTTGTTTAGAAACTTTTTCGGTGTCTGGTAATTTTACCGTATAAAATGAAGGTAGATATAATTTTTAAAATGGTCGAGCAAGCCCTGGCTTTATTTGGATAATATATTGTTTAATTAGTTTTGACAGTTGGCATTGAAAATTGTATCTTGTGTTTGGATATGTTTATAAATTAAAGGTTTAAATTGTAAAGTTTACGATAGAACTATAACAGCTTGTAGATCGGCAACAAACCTTTTGCGGATCTATGTTTATATGAAGTCATAAAATAAACCAAAGAATTATCGCCTTGCGTATTTACATCATATTTATGAACACCCTAATGTGAGTCTCGTGTTTGTTGTAGGTATTCACTAGGTACGATTAGTTCCGTTAGTATAATCGTTATAATGCAACTATATTATAATAAATTATAATAAATAGATATAAAGCAGCAATAAACTTTACGATTAACCGAACGTGATAATTGAAAATATTTTAATGGGTATGTGGTATTCAATAAATCTGTTTATAATTGCGGATAATTTTTACAATTTAGTATTTCATAAATTTTACACATATGAATTACATTCAACACAAAGAAATAAATTAAAATTGTGGCTCTGTAACTTCATTTGATTGATAGGGTTTGGAAATTCCTTCGCACAATATAAGGTTTCTGTCTCTGCTATGTCCGCTCTTTATATTAGGCTTCAATGTGTTTTTTTGTTCACACAGTTAGCATACCCAATAAAAGATTCTCCAACCAAGCATGAAATTGTGTCGTCATTCGAGCTATGAATCCAGACGGTAATGGCCAGGGATTTCAGGGAAGAAAACGAGTGTGAATTTTGTTCAGCATAAGGAGATCAAGTAATTTCGACTCATAATTTTTGCTTGGAGTAAGTCGCTAGGTCACTGGAATTTTGCTCATGCTACAACTTGCCGGCCAGAAGTAGCTAAAAGGTTTAGCCGGTTTTCTAAATATAATTTCCTTTACAGATTTTATTTCACAACCGATCGGAACTCCTCGTGCTTCTTTTAAAACTTAGTCAGATTTGTACCCTTGCAGGATCTTTGTCTAAGAATAAGAAAAATATACACCGAACTTATTTTTAGTAATATAATTATGTTGGTTATTTCGGTTTTCAAGTTGACAATTTCAACGTGGTCACGAATTGACTAGCCAGATCTGGAAATGTAATTTTGATGAAGTGAAGTGCTACTGAAACAAAATACCTAGGAAGTTACCAATAATGAGCTGTCGATAAGTATGGCTAACTTTATAAATTACAACATACAAAGACATATTTCGTCAATTTAACTAATCTGTTTCAACATATTTTTTTTTAAATAAACAGCTTTCCTTGACCATATGTGTACTTAGGATGTGTCAGACTGATAACCTGGCTAAATATGAAATATATCCTTCACCTGATTGACCAATTTCGTCAAACAGTAGTGCTTGAAACTGAATGAAATTTCAAAGTACATGGCGTTGAAAGCACACTATTTGGGTAAAAAACACAAATATTTTTTATGTTTCCATACAATTTAAACGAGTAAAGTCATAAAACCCGACGAAATCAGTAAATTACTTGGAGACAAAGATTTACGAGTATTACAAATACTCTACTATTGAAATTAAAACCATAAACAGCTTTGTTCGTGGTTCGCACATTAAGTGGTGCCATTGAAAAAGTATATGGGGACTTTTGCGGAACAGGACGTAATACTTATTAGTATCACCCTTATTGAAAGTACTTGTAGGATAGTCTCCTGCTGATAAATCACAAGGAATTATTTTTTTCGCACAAATCGCTTGTAGTCGCATTGGTTATCTGTAGTCATTACGATAGCCGATACCATTTTAACAATTACAATTTTTATTAGGTGTTAACGAATACACAATAATGTGATACGCACTTCACTTTATTACTGTGAAACCGATAGCCCGTATAGTCCATTACACGATTATGTACATTTTACCGACACTGTGTTTAGCTCTAATTATATGGTGCGCTAGGGCCTCTAAACTTATTGATGATTTTCACGATGCAAATAGCAAATTCACCGCCGAAGGTTACAAGGTAAGTTTTTGGAAACACTTGAACACGCAACTTAATCAATTTTAGATTATACGAAGGCTCAACCTTACCAGTAACTTTTTATTCTGCCCTTTATCTGCCCAAATAGTAGTTGCATTAATTCGCGCTGGTGCGAATGGTACAACAGCAGATGAACTTGCTTTACATATACATAACCCGAAAACAAAGCAGTTGTTCTCAAAAGTGCTTTCCAGTATCAAATCCAAACAGAAATGTGAATTTAAAATGGCTACCAACTTATACATCTCTGATAAATATCACGTTAAGAAGCAGTTCAAGAATTTTTCCAAAAAGGTTTTTCGAGCTACAACTGAAGTTGTAAATTTCAATGAAACGAAAAAAGTAATCAATTATATTAATGATTGGGTTGCAAACCAAACCAAGCACAATATCAAAGAAATTGTAAGTAGTCCAGACATTCACAAAGGAACGGAGATTATAGCCGTAAATGGGTTATATTTTAATGGCGATTGGTTATACCCGTTCGATCCTACATTCACAGATAGGATAAGATTTCACGTGAATAACAACAAAAGCATTTTAATTAACATGATGAGATCAGAAAATAAATTTAAATATCGTAAAGACGCGGTGTTGAAAGCTCAGTTTCTCGAACTGCCATTTTACGACCAAGATGTAATTATGACGTTTATATTACCTACCACCAGATTTGGTCTTGATAAGATCGAAGAAAATATTTCAGATTATCTTCCCCATCGAAGGTCTTTAAACTACCATGCAGTTAGCGTTACAATTCCTATATTTAAAGTAGAATGCAACATTGACCTCGTCGCGATTTTAAAAAATGTAAGTAACATGAATATTTTCCGGAAATACCTACCCGCTTAGGTATGTACATTTCAGATGGGCGTGCGGACGCCATTTTCAATAGGAGCAGACTTTAGTAGAATGAGTGACACTACACCATCTCCAGTAGTGGGGAACATCATTCAGAAAACGTTTTTGGAAATCAACGAAAAAGGAGCTACGGCAGCAGCTTCTACTGCGGTAGGTAGGTCCTTGAAATGTGTAGCTATAGAATTTTGTTTTTAAACTGTTACGTTTGCAGTTATTGAAGGTAGAAATGTACCACCACGAAACATTTTCTTGGCGAATAAGCCATTTTTGTATTACTTATGGCACAAGAAAGTTGGAATATTCTTTATAGGCAGATATACTAGCCCAAAGGAATAGTAAACAATAAAAACAGTAAAAAATATAGCATAAATATCTTGAAGTACTTACCAAATATGTATTACTGAAATTCTTTAAGGAATGGCTATTAGACTACATCTCCATTCCCGAGGACATACAATCAGAAGCACTACTAAGACACTAAGACAGTACCCAGCTAACGCCAAATTTTAAAAAAATGTATATCGCGTTCCGGCTGGAAGGTTATCACTAGGAATTCGCTTTCATTAGTTTGTTGTAGTTTTTTCGTGTTTGTCGTATGTTTGACTTCAATGATCACAAGTGATTTTGTGTGTTCAGGAAAAAATTCCACGTCCCTTCCCTTCCAATCTTTCAATTTCTTTTCTACAAGACGCAACGGTTAAAGAGAGAAAGAGAGAGAGAGAGAGAGACTAAATAATTAAATAAATCTTCATGTTCAGTTACGCAGCTAAACGTGTTAGATGTGTCATGATTGGAACCAATGTTCTTGCCCGTACCTTTTAAAGTAGGTACCACATTGTGTACTTGTACTAAATATAACTACTTTTTAAGAAAACGACTGCCACTATTGATTTGCCACGTTGATTTAGGACTAATAGTTCAGTCATCCAAGGATCAGAAACAGTTTCTAGGAAAAAAATGTCGAAGTTTTTTTTCTCATCGTTTTTTATGTTTTTTTAAATGCTGAATCTGAATCTGAGGTTTGCCACCTTGCCAGGCATGAGCTTCTCAAGGAAAATTGCAAAAAACTCTCATATTTCGGCACTTTTTCCCAGTTTTTTAACTATAACTCGAAAACTAAGCGTTTTTTGGTGAAAACTGTAATGTACCAAATTAAGTAGACAAAATTTCCTATAAATACGTATAATAACTGTAAAGTCTGGAACAATCCATAACGTCGTTAGAGGGTGTTAAAAAAATGGAATTTCTTATCTTTTCGCTAAAAAGGTTTAAAAACGTTATTCTTCTAGCTAGTGCCCTACTATCAATTTCGTACACCTCCAAAATGAATTATTTTATGATTACTAGGTATATCCTACTTACATTTCAATAAGGGAAAACGTGAAAAACATTTTTTTTTAAATGCCAAAAACATTTTCCGCAGCCTTTGAATATATTGCTAGGAAGGTATACGATCCTTTATGGATCCATTTACTTAACTTGAAAAACTTCGCTGTATAATATACCATAAATGATAGTAAACATTATTGTACCCCCCTCCACCAACCAAAAACACTACCTGCTGTTTTCCGTCTTCCACTCCATACAGTTTAGTTAGTCTCGTGTAGCGGTGCCGTGCTGTTAATAAAACAATAAAACGAGTGTTATTTGTGCGCTGAAAAATAATGAACATGTCTCGCGAGTGTATAATATGTGACAAATCGTTAGATGATGGAACTCAGACATCTATAGTAAAGGAAAAGGGGTTGGAAGGTTTCATTGAAGCAAGTAAAGGTCGAGAGGATGGTAAAATAGATTTGTTTAATAGATATAAGACTGCTAAAGAGGTTGAGGTTCACGAAAAATGTAGGAAAAGATATACTAATCAAAAATTAATTAATGCTGCCCGTAAGAGGAATATACAAAGTAGTAATTCATCTGCACTTCGCTCCAATATTCCCCAATTCTCATTTAAAACCCACTGTTTTATATGTGGGTAGGAAGTGCCACCAGATTATTCAAACAAAGAAATAAAAAAACCAGCATACCGCCGTAATCCTGTGTACCCTGTGACCCAATTTACTGTAGGTAAAAACATAGAGAGGCTGCTGAAAGATCGAAATGATGAAGTCGGACGTGCTATTTTACTTCGTATAGGTTCAGTGCATGATTTGCCAGCTGCTGATGCTCAATACCATTTTTTATGCATGAAAGAGCTATACCTTCCCAAAAGACAAACAAAAACACAAGGTAGGCCTAGAAATGATGTGGATGAAGAAATGCAATGCATTTTCAATTACATTGAAGATAGTTCTGAAGAATGCCAGTTTACAATTGAAGAACTAATAAATAAGATTGAAAGTGACTGTCGTCCTCACCCAAGAACAGTAAAACAGCGCCTCCTTGAGAAGTATGGCGATGATATATGTATAACAGCCAATATGCCTTATATTGTGTGTTTCAAGTCCACAGGTCACAAGATTATTAATGATTTTTGGTATCAAAATAGGTTGTCAGAGAAAGAAGAAAGGACAAGGATCGTTGAAACAGCAGCTGCTATAATTGTTGAAGATGCACGCTCTCAAGTGTACAATTTGACACAGTACCCTTCATCAGATACTTTTATAGATAATTTGAACGACCTAATTCCAGAATCTCTCCTAGCCTTTACAGATGCTGTAGTAATGAGCAAGAAAAAAGGAAATTTCGAAAAATGGAAGAAGCAATCTCTTGCAATAGCCGACTGCTTGCTCACAGCCATAAGGCCAAAGTCATATATATCTCCTTTGCAAGTGGGCGTTGCAACTTTTTTGTACAAGAAGTACGGATCACGAAGGTTAATCGATGTGCTAAGTTCATTGGGATTTTGTTCATCATACACAGAAGCCGTACGTTTTGAAATGTCCTCTATGTTGGAACCACATCTAACTCTTAGGAAACAAGCACTATCTCAATTTGTTTACGATAACGCTGACTTTAACATCGGAACTATTGATGGGCACAACACATTCCATTCGATGGGTGGCATCATTTGTGTCACTCCAAAGTCGGCTGTTGTCTCGAGTCCACACATCGACCGGTTAAAGGATTTACCTTCAGCAGAAACTATTGGATGTCTCGGAACCCTTCCAGTGAAAGTGTTTGAAAAGACAGGGCCAGGCCTAGCTGCTATTCAAATCAACCCTCTAACTTTAAATTTCAGTCACAAAAGTTTAGTTAGCCCATCTGCATCACACTTGCTGTGGCTCTATGGAAAACATATGAACCGTCTAGGAATTGGTGGGTGGAATGGGTTTATGGAAGACTTAACAAGAAATAAACCTCACGACATTACATATATTAACTGCCAGCCATTCATTAATTCACCACCAAGCGACTATAACACGATCTACACTGCTTTACTGAGTAGTGTTGAAAAATCAAAATCATTAAACCAACAAAGCACTATTGTTACCTTCGATCAGCCACTCTACCTGAAGGCGCGGGAAGTGATTGCAAGTCGTCAGGGAGACCCCGAACTGCAACATGTGATTCTACGGCTGGGTGGATTTCATTTACTGATGTCCTTTATGGGAGCTGTGGGCTTCATAATGGAAGGTAGTGGATTATCGGAACTTTTCAACCTCATTTACGCTGCTGTTAGCACTGAAAAATTGCTGACAGGTCACGCCTATGCAAGGGCTGTTAGAGCACACATGCTGGCTCACAGGACTCTGGCCTCAATAATATTGGAAACAATAGATTTTTCTGCCTCATTTCAATCCGAAATTGAACAAATTTTGTACTGCTCTGATCGATCGGAAATTTTGAGCGCACATGACATGGATTGTGTTAAGGAGCTTGTTTCAAAATTTAAAGACAAGCTTGAACAATTCACAAACTTAGGGCCCACTGCCAAATTGTGGAGTCAGTACTTTCAAATGGTCACGCTAATTTTAACTTTCATAGATGCAGAGAGAACAGGCAACTGGACTTTACACCTGGAAACCATTCATGACATGCTTCCCTATTTCCATTCCAGTGGACATTTTCTCTATGCGAAGTGCTGCCACCTGTATTTACAGGATATGATGGAGCTACAAAACACTATGCCCCCTAATGAATTCAAAGCTTTTACTTTGCAAGGCGGGTTCACTATTCGGCGAAGCAATAAATTTCGTTGTGGAACATGGAGTGATATGTGCATAGAGCAAGAGCTCATGAAGCATATGAAATCTTCTGGCGGGCTCACTAGAGGTCGTGGTACCAGCGACGCTATTCTGTCAAGATGGACTTTGGGAATGGCAACGTACAGAAAGATTTGCGATGCTGTGGAACGATTTAGCGGTATAGATTTTGCATCATCAGAGCAACATATAGATACTCGAGAATCCTCGCAAACCCGAGACAATATTGATGCAAAGAAAATGATGGAGTGGTTCCACCAACACCCGCCCTTCCAGAAGACAGCTGAGCTCATTTCTTTAAGCACAGGGGTCATGGGTGATGAAAAAATAAATTGCCACTTGTCTAGGGAGGAAGGAGTCAAGTGTATTGACAAAATGTTGGCAATTGCTGGCAACAATTTTGAGTCAGTTAAGTTTAAGCGAAGAGATAGGGTGCTGTCACTTGCCACCATGAAATCTTCAATAATAGTTCATGATCAATCTGTAGTTGTTAATCCAACTACCCTATTTCAACGCATGAGTATTGCTAAAGAGTCAGACGAGGAACTCGAGGAGTTCTTGACATACGAACTGAGCCCCTTTCCACTTGCCCTATTTGACGAAAAGAAAGGTGGTCTAATGAGGAAAGGGACAAAATCGACACTGTACAAAGCTTTTCGAGGAGAACCTGACACATCTATATTGGATAAACATCCCAAATATGTTGTTGACGGTGGATTTCTTCTACACAAAGTTGTGTGGCCTGAAAAGAAGACATTTGGTCAAATTTGTGACAGCTACATTGAATACTTAAAGAAAAAATATACATCAACCGCAGTAGTAGTCTTCGACGGCTACTCAGACGCACAAAGAGGAACTAAACAAATGGAGCGCATGAGAAGATCCATGACTCAGTCAGTTGACATCCAATTCAATGACAAAATGGTGCCCACGGTCCCCCAGGAAAAGTTTTTGTCTAATCCCTACAACAAAAGCAGATTCATTAGCATGCTTCTACAGAAACTGAGTGCATCGCAAATTGACACGAAGCAAGCAAGTGAAGATGCAGACACTCTGATTGTGCAAACAGCCCAATCTCTTGCTGAAGAGCACGAAACTGTTGTAGTGGTTGGTGAGGATGTAGACCTCCTGGTTATTATGATTGGAACCCTGACGTCATCCAATGTATACTTTTTAAAACCAGGAAAAGGCAAACATCTTCCATCTGTTTACCATCCTTCAAGTACCATCGATAAATGCCTGGCAGAACATATACTATTCATACATGCAGTCAGTGGTTGTGACTCCACATCTGCTCTGTTCAAACAAGGGAAAGTCAAGTTTATAAAAACCCTTACAAAGTATCCTGATCTGTCAGTCTACATTCGACAATTCAGAAGCCCACGTGCCACATCAGAAGAAATTTCGGAGGCAGGGGAAAAATTCCTAGTGGCCTTGTATGGCGGAGATCATCGCACTACTTCAATTAATAAGCTGCGTTACAAACAGTATGTGTCATCAGCATTTAAGGTTAGCGGAAATGTAGCGTCCATCCCTCCCACTAAAGCTGCAGCCCAACAACACTGTTACAGGGTATTTCACCAAGTACAGCAGTGGCTGGGGAATATTCAACTACCTGAGCAGTGGGGATGGAAACTTATTAAAGGCAACTTGATTCCCATCACGACCCTTGAGCCCCCAGCTCCAGAGAAGCTTCTGAAACTCATTGCCTGCAAGTGCCATAAAGGTTGCAAGGGCAATTGCGGATGTATAAGGGTTGGGTTATACTGCTCCAGACTGTGTCTGCATTGTGAAGGAAGATGCTCTAATATAGAAATAATGCTGAGTGATGACGATGAAGACGTTTCACCTGAGAAGCTCGAAGGTAATTTATACTATTGGAAGTAATTATTATTCTAATCTAGTATGTATCCTGTAAATAAGAGACTATACTTGCACAGATCAACATCAAAATATCACAATTTTTTTTTAGTAGAGAGACCAGCGCCTATCCTTCAAGAACTCGAGCAATCCACTGACCAGAAAGGGCTAAAGAGAAAACATTACGTCGCTCCGGAGATACAGCCTGGACCTTCTAAACGGATCATCTGCGAACGCAATGCTGAGCTTTATGCAGGTAATGACTTCTTCTTCTCCATCTTATTTTCAGTTTTATCTTTTTTTTATAAATAATATTAAAGTCTATTGTGCAAAGACATATTAAATTCTGGCCGTAATGGACATGAACGACATTGATTTTATTATAGTTATCTAAAGCCTCCATTTTCGTTGTTTTAGGTGATAATTCTGCAGATGAGGACGCCGACGACGAATGAACATAAAAATTTAGAAAAATAGTGTTTTTGCTTTATTTTTTGTGTAAATAAAAATTTGTTCCAATATGTTTTCTTTTATCAAAACATTATTCCCCTTAAAATGAAAGTAGTACGATTTTGGTTTGGGCTAGGAGGCTCGTTGACCTATAGGCCTCACTCTCGTTTGCCCTTATTGAAATGTAACTAGGATATACCTAGTAATCATAAAATAATTCATTTTGGAGGTGTACGAAATTGATAGTAGGGCACTAGCTAGAAGAATAACGTTTTTAAACCTTTTTAGCGAAAGGATAAGAAATTCCATTTTTTTAACACCCTCTAACGACGTTATGGATTGTTCCAGACTTTACAGTTATTATACGTATTTATAGGAAATTTTGTCTACTTTAATTTGGTACATTACAGTTTTCACCAAAAACGCTTAGTTTTCGAGTTATAGTTAAAAAACTGGAACAACTGCCGAAAATATGAGGTTTTTGCAATTTTCCTTGAGAAGCTCATGCCTGGCGAGGTGGCAAACTTCAGATTCGAATTCAGCAGCCCAAAAGACATATAGAACCAGTGAGAAAAAAAATTCTACATTTTTTTCCTGTAAAAAACCTCTGCTTACTGGACTAGTAAGGAGATTTACTCTACGATGAAAGTGGTGTTTCTTTAAGTACGGCAAGCCTTAGGCGGCTGCTAGCTGGTTCGCGACAGTTGGAAAACGTACGGTTCTTTACGCTATTTTTTATTCGGCCTATTTGATTGATTGAAGACGTAGTTCGTCGTTTTCATAATATTTCTGTATAGAAGAAGGTTAACGAAAGTTGTGACAAAGTTGTTAGAAGTTCAACGTGTGTTGTTCGTATTCAGAAAAAATTAGGCAAGTTAAAGTAAAAAAAAGCAGTTTTAGGGCACTGTGGTGCCTTCTGTCAAGGTTCTGACATTATCAAGGTTAACAGATTACACCGTTTGAACAGCCTCCGGTAATTCCTCATTTCATTCATCAAGTTAATGTTCTTTGTAATCAAGATTTCTGAAGTGATGTGCAAAAGCTGTCAGCGTTTGTGTGTGGAGTTAAGCGCGCTTTTTTTGTCGCAAACCGTTGAACGACCAGATTATTAGAATTACTAAAAGAGAAACACTGTAAGTAATTTTAAGATTGTCTTATATTATTTGTCGACCGTCTGCGTGCGGGGAATTTGTCCAAACAAGCTTTACAATAAATCAATTAATTAGGTATGCGTTTATTCTAACTCATTGCGCAACCCGGATAGAGTTTTCATGTCAGATTTTTCTTCTCGTGTCCAAGAATTGTGTCATGTGTTAATGCAAACCAAATGCAGATATGATTCGTTCAGAACTTCATTATCTCTTTCAACTACCCAGAGATAAACTCAATACTTATGTAACTGACGAAATGGTTCGGAGCAGTAACAAAATCATTTTGGGGTTACCACCATACCATTGTGAACTGAACCCAATTGAAATCATATGGACAAAAATAAAAATCAAGGGCATCTAAAGAAAAAATTGCCATTTATTATATTCAATATTGATTTTTGAAACTTTGTGAAGATGGTTTATAGCATACCAGACAATAATTATGTGGATTTATAGAACTTGGGGTGTAGAAACTTGAATTTATTTTGAGAGATTTATTTTCTGTGAACCCAAGAGACAATATTCAAATTAATTAATACAACAGCCAGATCTCTATTTGTTTTAAGAAGTTATTTTGGATGCATAAAATTGGGCGCTCTTCAGATTTTGTATTTTAAAATTAGAAATAGGGACAAACAATGCACGTAAATCCCTATGTCTACTTCTTAACAAATGGCACTGTGTAAACATATGGATATAATGATTTAATTCAGGTTTCTACCAAGATTTATACTGCGATTCGTTTTTTTCTGGATATATTTGTGTTTTTTTCATAAAATGTTTAGTTCGACGATTTGAAGGCATAACTTCGTTACCTTTTTTAGAAATGTCTTTCTTAAAAGGGAGACAAAGCTTTGTTCGAATCATAGAATTGAACAAGTAAATCCCGAAATATAGGCTTGTTTTTTAGTATTGCTGTTGCCGATTGTATACAAATGTAGGTCCAGTAACAAAACAAACCACTATGCTACTGCCTACGATATTCGATAATTTGTTTAACAGTGAATCAATTGCCCTCACCCTAATAATACAGTGGGCATTGCATAGGGCGGTGTAGCTCATTTTCTCACAATTTTCATAGTACCGCTTCTACGCAAGTTTCGCAAAAAGTATTGAGCAATAGCAATAGATGAATCATAACAAATATAGTTATCGGACAGATAATTGTGCATAACAATTAGATAGGGAATTCCATTTACGATATTGGCATAAGAAAGTTTTATAAACTGTTATGAAACAGCAAGATTGACCTTTACTGAGATAACTTTATCATTAGCTATTAATTAACAAGTGAAGAATTACCACAGTCAGTATGCAAAGAACACTTGAAGAGTACAGTGTATCTGACCTTCGCATATAGATCACCTTGTAGTATGGAAAAGGGTGAATCATACGTACAATACGGAGTGTTGTCGCAGCAAGGAGCGATAGAAGCTTTAACTAAGCTTAATGGCAGTCTACATTGGAAGGAAAATTGCAAAATTCTCGACGTTGGCTGTGGACCCGGTAACGTAACTTATGATTACATTCTGCCTAAACTGCCAAGGTCGACTAAGGAAATTATTGGTATCGACATATCACCTGATTACATTAAATACGCCGAGTTACATTATGGCAAACATCCGATTTTCGCGTACAAACTTATGGATATTGTGAATGGTGATGTGCCGAATGAATATGAGCAACACTTTGATTATGTGGTGTCATTTTTGTGTTTTCAACAATTCAGCAACCATAAGTAATAAATTAATTTTATTTTACTTAACTACATTAATTTGCTATTCGTAGGGCAGCCTTTGAGAAAATCAAAAGAATGTTGAAATCAGGCGGAGAGATGCTATGTTACTTTCCAACAAGTACCAAATCTACCGAATTGTTCACGTTTCTTGCAAAACAACAAAAATGGAACCAATACCTATGTAACTATGAAATGCATTGCAGTCCGTATAAGGATTCTGTTGACGTTGAAAGCGACGTTCGGCGTTTTTTAACTGATATGCAATTCAAAATAGTATTCTTTAACTATGAGGAAAGACACTATGAGTTCATGGACAAAAATTTGCCATGTACGTATTTTCGGTAGAAAACAGACAGTATACCATTTGCACTGACGATACGTATTTTCCTACAGCGGCCGTGCGCGCAATCGCTTATGAAAGTCTAAAAATTCCAGAAGACATGTATCAACAATTTCAAGCAGACGCTATTAAGGCATTTAGAGATTTAAATGTTATGAAGTTTAATGAAAACAACGAGGGATACTATGACTGCTTTTACAAATTAGTTACGTTTCATATTATTAAGCAACCCTAAGTTATAATAATTTAATTTATGTGCAAGCAAATTATAACGCATGAAATATTAATAGTATTTATAATAATCATTTATAATATCATTTTTTCATCAAAAACGTGTGCACTAAATATTTATGTTCTATTTATGCATTGCACTCAATTGCACTCAACTTGCAAATTGAACTTAAACAATCCCATTCGTTCTTTACGAAGAATCACTAATAATGTATGGCCACCATCCTCCCCCACTTTTTCTGGTGCGAGATCGGGCCCCTGGTGAAGGGGATTTCCCCGATGACGTAGCTAATGAGCAACCTTGTTTGTGTTGGTTAGAGTACCTACGGTTATGTACGTAAGGATGACGTAATCTTGCGTGGTTATTATCTTGGCTAAAGTAAAATGGGTTCTTATTTTAGCTTACACTTTAACAGCAACAAGCTTTTTATCATGATTATAGTAACACCTGAAATAAAGGTAGTGTTTGTCTCCGTTCATTAAAAAAATAATCCTTTGACACACGCCCTTTACTCTTCAAATGAATTCTTAAATTGGAAACTGGACGATGATCCATATACATTTCTTCCGAATTTGTAGTAAAATTTTTGTTTTAATTTTAAGATATGGTTTCATTTTTCATCCGAATTCATCTCATGTTTGTTCCTTCGAATATGGTTTACTAATATTTAACACATATCTTTTGTTGCTTGTATTTCTTGTAATTATTTTCCGCTTTGTGACTTAGATACGTTTTGATTTTGACCTTTTTTGAATTTTTTTAAATTTTTTTTAAATTTTCTTAAATCATTAGCATTTTTTTAAAAATTATCCATGGTGTTACACTTTTGAAAAGGGAATTTAATATGCAACTTTATAGATTAAAATCAATTGCTTATACATATTTGCTACATCCCATCTCGTTTGCTAAAAAAATTTCTTTTCTTACTCGACAAGATTTTCAATATTTATGAACCTCACTCTTCTTTTCATATGTTCTATGCCATGGAAAGGATTCCAAAAGTAACTTGGTGGTGGGCTTTTCTTATCATGGGATTTCCTGGGTTTTAGTTTGTTATCTAGGGTGGAATCGCATTTTTAAACAATTTTGTGGGTTGGGTTTTTGGGATTTTAATTCAGTCATTTTGTTTGTAACATTTCAATTTTCCAGTTCACTCTTATTTTCTACTTTGTGATTTCACTTTAAATTTTTTTGATATAAGCGCAAGGTCCACAATTAAAATCTTTCTATTCTCTCTTTGGCCTTACAATCCAAATTTGGGAGTCTTTCAATTTCCCTGATTTTTCACATTTCTCAGAAAGTATTCTTCCTGCAGCGGTTAAAACAGATTGTGTGGCTTAGCTAAATTCTTAATTGGATGTGATTTCGATTTTTTTCTAGGGGAGAAATTAACCACCTTTTGCAAGGCGCGCGTCTACAACGGGTAATCAACCTCGGGCGCCCAAACGTTTCTTAAATCTCGAATTCGCCTTCTCGTGCCGCTAATAGAAGCTCGAGCTAAGATAAGTGCTCTAAAAAAAGAGTACTATTTTGTGGAGGGTTTTTAGCGAAATCCACCAAAATGCGAATTGCGGGTGAACGGGACGCAAATTTCCGTTCCCTATACAATATGGTGATCGGTTGCACGTTGCACGAAGTCGTATAGGATATGGAAGCAGTGAATATTTTTACATATCCTATCCGATTTCGTGATTTGTTGCCCCAGCGGAATATTCGATAACTGCAATCCGTTATGAATCTTGCAATCTCCATTTGCACGTGTCCTACTGATGGCTAGTGTTCACTAAATTAAGTTGGTTTGTCTGCGCTTTGTGCTTTGCTAGTACCTACTTTCAGATTAGTCATTTTTATTTGACATGTGTGACTGTGAGGGCGCAAATAGTACAAATCAGTTTACTATTTTTAGCATATTTGATAAAAAGTGTCAAGTTATAAAAGAATGTGAAGAAAACGGGAAGAAAAATATAGAACCGGAAACAAAATTTAAACCAGAATTTTGCGATGAGGATGCAAATAACTGGATCAAAGAGTATTCAAAAGATAAAAACAAACTATATTGTCCAACAGAATTACAAAGATCCAAAGAAATCGTAAAATATTTCATATTTTTCATTATTTCTTTATCTGTATCGAAAATGTCCTTTAATTGGTTCCAATGTTTTGGAAATGCAAATGAGGATAGTGCAATGTTCACATTACACATAATTGATCAAGATCACAAAATCGGATAGGATAGGTATGTAAATACATTCACTGCTTCCATATCCTATACGAGTTCGTGCAACCGATCGCCTTTTTGTATAAGAGACGGAAATTTGCGAACGGGACGTCGGAAATGGGTACCGACAAAAGGAATATGGTGGAGTCAAAACTGACTAATAGAATACTCGGAGCAGTGACAAAGTGTCGAACCAAAGAAGATACTCACAAAAAGAACACCTCGAATAGTCGTGTCCGTCGGCAGGAAACGTTACTCACAAAGGGAAAATGAAACATACTGCTGTGTTTATTTCGTCCGGCGATGAAATTTTCGGAAATCTTAATTAAGATGGACAAGGGCGGCCTCCTTCTTATGTAATTAACGTTTGTAATTAAATTTTATTAATTTGTCGTTGTTCTATGTAACGGCATGGGGATTATTGTGTCATACGAGAAAGCGGTCAAGGTTGTTTTTGTTTACATTTTTATTTTATTTAACGTAGCATTTCTGGGAATCGTATTTGGTCTTTATCTGTTATCAAATGTAACTGCTTAATTTATTTGACAGATGGATGTGATTTATCGCCTTTTCTGAAATTTTTATTTTTCCTAGAAATTAAGTTTGGATTTATGTCTTAATGTCTGATAACAAATTCATTTATAAACATTATTCCACCTCTATTTTTTAGTCTATTAACATACGTTGAGGGGATAGTCTTTGTTGTCAACAATGTATGGTTGGTTGTTATAATTTTGAGTTTCGGAAGAAGGGTTTTTGGCTTAAATAGGACGTTAAGAAGAAAAGCGTCGCTTTTAGCAAGAGTTTACACCGTACTACGTTTGGTTGAGATTTAAAATCAGCTTTTTGCACAGTCAACGAAGAACTACGTTTCATTGAAATTTAAAATCGGCTTTTAGCGACAGTCAGAGCAGAGTTACGTCTCGTGAAAAATTTTAAATCAGCTTTTTGGTACGTCAGCACCGAGTTACATTTCGTAGACTTTTTGCGAGTTCCATCGTGGATTATTTGTGTTGAAGCCACAGACAGCATTGAAAGTTTTCGCTCAATGTGAGTTTGAAGATTGAAGAATTTTCGTTTGTGAAACTGGAAGCTGAATTCGCGGTTAGCTTTTGTTCTACGTTTTGAAGTTTGAAGTTTTGGCAATCAAAAGTGCTGCAAGGAGAGGTGTTTGTCGGCGCCCCCATAAGTGTGTTTTCAACGTGACTCAGTTTGAAGTTGAGTTTTTTATTGGAACGTCCGAGGAGAGGATACCGCGATTACCCGGTCGTTAGTGCACAGGGTGTCCATTGAAAATTGAAACCTTTTATTTGGATTACAATTCCCGGACAAGTAATGGAAGTAGTTACGTTTTAATTTTAGTCTTTTTGTAATAATTGTTTGTGTTTTTGTGCCATTTTTCTTGTTAGAATTAAATCGTACTTTTGTAATTGTCACATTAATTTTGCATGTGTTTCATTCTAACGACTCCATTTGTAATGACCCTGTGTTTTTATTTGATGCTTGCCCAAGGTCCATTTTAATTATTCAAAATTTTACGGATCAATTTGGAGTATAAAGTATTTGATTTGACCCACTATCTGTTAGAAGTTATCAGGTTAACTGAGAGCAGAATCGAGCCTCTCCTCTGTGCTGGGGAGAAGTTTTGTGCAGTGTTAATAAGTAAAGGGAAAGAGCTAGGTAGGTTTTTGTTTTGGTGTTTTGTGTACGGTTTCTTTGACCTACGAACCAGTCCACACAGGCACACAGCAATATAGACTATGTGTAACAAAGTCTTTGGAGTAACTGAAGTGCCTCAAGATATGAAAAATAAAGTAAATTTAAGCCTATAAGTATTTGTTAGATTTTAGACCAAATTCCCCTTGTTAGGGAGGGAACTCTTAATTCGACACGGTAGGATTAGAAGAGAGCGCCAAGACTAACGAGTGATAAACCGACAATTTCCGCCCATTTTAGAAAAGACTCCCTAACCACCTTGCTTTACATACTCATTTTTCTAGGCTAGTTTAGTTCAGTAAGCACAGTTCTAAAGATACAGTCCACTTAATATAGCACAGTGTAAGGTTCTAATAAAGGAAAAATCGTGAAAAGCTACTTCGTTCTTATTTCCAACCAACTACCCAACTAAATTTGCTGGATTGAACGCCCTTCATTTTCTCATAAGGTAAGTCTGTAAGATCTTGTTTGAATTGAAATATTAACAGGTGCCTGCGAGGTGACACGGAAATTCTTCCTTTACAATAAACTGGTACACAGGGAGCGACTTTTATAAATGCACAGTACTGAAAGCTAATACCTTTTGGTCATTTTATGCATGTGTAGACCGTAAATTAGGATACTGGTATCGTTTTGTCAAAATTTGCGTCGTCGATTGTGTTTCAGCTTTCTGTCTCGAGTAGATCGCGATGGAAATGTCTTCGTGTTTTGGGTAATTTACTTGAACTTACCACGCATGCATTTCAAAATAATTTCGGTACGGTTAACTTAACGCCAACGTAGTATGTTTCATTTACAAAATAGAAAACAGCAGTCGCTCCAGAGCCAACCTTTGAGGGGCAAAACGGATTTCCACTAAAGCGGAACATTCAGCGGTGTGGAGAAATAAACAAAACAAATCGCATTGATTGATTATAGACAAAACAAAACCCTTTTCACTGACATATTTATTAAAGGGCCGCCATGAATGTCTGTTTAACCATACAACATGCTCGTCTTTGGTTTCAATAAATCCGTTTGAAACCGCAGCATAACGTAATGCTATTAGGTTAAATCAATCTACATATATAGATAAAATCTAACTCAGATTTTGAAAACGCAATCGACATAAATCTCAGAGAATTGGATAAATCACG